AAAAAAATCGAGAACAATTTTGTTATCAACACCGGAACAAACGTGACATTTAAATGAAGGATGCGAACTTTTACAGCCCAGCTGAGCCAGGGGATTTCACTGGGCCGCGTTTGGTTTCTCTACCGGTGGCTGCCCGCCGGAGAGCTAGTATTTCAAATAAATTAATGATCACCCCGGACACAGGCGAGCACCGCTTCCGACAGCCGGAAAATATTAAAACCCAAAAGACAACAGAACGATCTCGGGAGGAGGGAGACAAACAACTAGTTCTACTCACCGGACTGGCCTTTTACGGTTCCTTTAACCAACTGCAAAATGTGAAGTTTAAACTGAGAACGTCACTATTGTCTTCATCCGTAAACTGCTGCTGCTGCGTGCTCCTCGTCCGCGAGGCGTGGCGATCTCGCCCTCAGCCCGGGCGGCACTCCTCCTCGAGCTCGCTCGGGCTCTCACGCGCACACACCCTCCCCTCCTCCCTCAGTGGCTGGGCGGAAAGCGTGCGCGGGTCACGGACTGACACTGCTCTGGGCCAATCAGAGCCCGGCAGCCAGCGAGGGGGCGGGGCCTGCGCTCGTTCCGCGGGGGCACTGTCCTGCCTGCACGCAGTACGTTTTTACGCCCGGAACTACCGTGAATCCATTAACACTGCCTGGCAGAGAACATTTAAAAGAAAGGAAAAAGTCGGTGAAAGATACCGCATTTGTTTTGCACGCTTCAGCTGAAAATAAAGACTTTCCAAATACAGATTTTTGCAATAGACCAATCTACTGTATTTCAGGGTATAGGCATGACCTACACTACATTTCACTCAAAAGCTCATATAATCACAGTTTCCTTGAGCGTCACAAAGTGTTGTACACTTCCTCTTTTGTTCATTTAAACGCTTCTACGTAATTTTTTCAGTGGAAAAAAATGGTTACTAACAGATCAATGTATACACATTTTTCACTGTCCAAAACACATCCATCGTATTTCCTCAAGCTGATAATGTTAGAATGATCCTGCTTTGAATATCCTGGAACACCTCAGCACTGTGATAAGGCAGAAAAAGTATATCTATCTGGGTACAATATCTTGGATCTGTGGTACATAAACGAGTTTAACCAGTTTTTCAACCAGAACTCCCAACAGGATCTCCACATGATGGGCAGAGAGCAGTTTGCCACGAGCCCTGGATTACTGACTTTGATACTGTGAGACGACTGGCCGTTGGTTGTACATATTACCTGTTAATCAAAGTAATTTCGTCTTCCCCTCTCATAGATGAACAATGTTTTCCACTGAGATGCACATGCTTTTTCAAAGGAAAACCAGATAACCCTCATGACGCATGTCCCCATCTTCCTAGCAGTGTGGTTAAAACACCACGTGGCCCACCTGGTTAGGTGATACCAAAACAGGTCACGCCAACAGATATAGACTTGTTGCACAGGATCTTTGCTTAAAAATGGTGTATGTGGCTGCAGACGAAGGCACCGAAACAATATGACCTGCTAATCCCTTCAGTGAAACGAACAGCATGAGACTTGAACCGTGTTGCCCTATTCTGGTGCTGCAGGACCCCTGCGCCTTTATTGATGGGTTTTATTGAGGCTGAGTTTTTTTTTTTCTTAATTAAGTTTACTGAACCTTTAGTTGGCACACTTTGCCAAAAAGCATTGCCAGCTCAGGAACACTAACAGAAGGCTAGAATTCAGGACAGACCCTGTGCAGACAGTGGGTTTCTGAATCCAGCTCATTGTTTTGGGTTGGTAGCTGGCCACTGGGTCAGTACAGCACTACGAACGCCTAGAATCTGAGCATTTACCAGCGTTATTCTCACATCTTTACTTAGTAACCAATTTGGTTGTTCAGACGCTACGTGAAAGCAATCGTTCTAAGCCTAGCTGAAACAGAGACTGGTTTGTTAGATCCATCCTCCTATTTTCTAACTGCGAGGGAGCTGGAACCTATCCCAGCATGCAACAGGCAGGAAGCAGGGTACACCCTGGACAGGACACTGGCCC